TCCGACTTTGGAAACGATTATGCATACAATGGACTTCGGAGTAGGTGCGTTCCTCCAAGTCTTCCTACCACTTTGACCGAGTTGTTGAAACAAGGTCAAACAACTTCTATACAAAGAAAAAAGAATGCGACCACACAAAAGGACACACCATCTTGGTCTTCATACCTTCGATACAAAATCATAATGCCTGCTCGTTTCCTTACGACAAATTGTGCCAACCTTTCCTGCGCCGTCTCATGCAGCCTTGTATGACTCATTCAAGATCTTATTGAACATCTCCTGATCCTGCCATAACGATGTTGCCGTATAAGATGAATTGGTGAGCCTCTCTCGAGTTGTTTTTGACCTTACTTTTCAGTGACTGTAGGAGTCCGCGAATGTGGTTGTGGTGGTCTGAAGCAGACCCCAAATGCATTCCAATCGAGCAGCCTATTGGCTCGGCAATTTGCCAGGTTGGTAGGCCTTTCGGCGAGAAAATGATAAATCAAGCTTACTAAGACTGCTATCGAAAATAAGCAATATATGATGTATTCAACCAATTTCGTTTGAGGTCATGAAGGACTGGCAGAAGAATTTTCCCACAATCTGATGAGTACAGTTGACGCTTCCATTCAATTTCACATAACCTTGCTTTTCCCAAAAGTTCTTCTCATCCCAGCACGAGTGGACTGCAGTTTCGAACCGTGACAGTTCTTCATCAGCTCAAACAAAATTGGGCGAATACATCTCATACTACTGATTTACTGGCAGTCTCGAGAGCATACTTAAATGCGAAAAATAAGTAGTATGTCATGCACAAAAAGGACAATATTCCGTTGCCAGTCTGCTCAGATGCCAGACTCGTAATGGCTGTCGGAAGGGAATCTCTTGGAGCCTATTTCCTACAGGATTGACCGAATTGGCATACAATTGACAAAAGACATGGCACCAGAGGCGTGACCTGGGGCCAGGCTGTGGCGCAGTGGTGCCAAAAGCCTACCCTTGGAGGCGGCATTTTGGTCGCGCAGAATTGTGCACTCCTCAATCGTTCCGTAGGGCTCAAAGATCCGGCGTACATCCTCCTCGGTCTGCTGTTTGCTCAGCATCCCCACGAAGAGCTTGCGCTCCTCTACGACCCGGCAGCAGGTCGATGGTGTGAG